ACTGTGTGCTGTATAGCAGCAGTGGATAACAGCTGGAGATAACCAGAATAACTACTGGATATATCCAGTATAACAACTGGCTATGCTTTTCAAACTTATTCTCAGTATTTAATTCATTGAATTCTTATTCTTCTGTACACCAGCTCTGCTGTAAAGTTCAGAGACATTTTTTTCAGAAGCTTCTAACAAGTTACTCTGGATCTGTAATTACTGAGACCAAATTGAGTCAAAATGCCAAGTGGGATTACTCTTTCTCAATGCCTGGAGTCACACAGAATGAGTAAGTACATAAAGCATCATGGGTATCCCCAGATATATAACAGTCTAGTTATGGACCACAGTACTTTCAACAGGACATTTAACATGTGCAATAGTTTTCTGCATGTTGCATGAATTGCATGAATTGCCTTAAAGAACAAGGTAAGAATAATATCTTGAACCTGTTGGAATTCAGGGATGGCATTTTAATATCCTAAAAAAGTCTAAGGGTACTTTGCGCTTGCACAGTACTATAAGTGCACTCTTAAGTAATATGCTCATCTCCTGTAACTGCTCACTGTGATTTACTATCTATCTCTGTAACCATTTTCTGGCCTTCTTTTTCTTCATTTCTCAGAATTGAGTCCAGAAAGACCATACAGCTTCAATTTTATGATCAAAAATGATATAAAAGTGGTTTTTTTTCCAATGCAAAAAATACCTAGAGCTTTCAGAAAACACATGATAAGTGTTAGAATGTGCAGAGAGCAGGTAAAGATGCGGAACAGAATTCTTTTTTTTAATTATATTGTTAGCAGAACAAATGGATAGTAAGGCTCTGAAAATAAATATATAAATGAAGCTTTGTTAAGGGGACTTATTTTGGTCTTCCCATTTTTATTGATGACTATCATCAGCATGATGTAAAGATTTCAAATCCATTTAAATTCTCCTGAATTGTATTATTTCTTGATCAACAACAATGTGATCCATTTATTTAATTCCTATTGTAACCATCACTAAATTATCTGAGCACAATTTCCATGCAAGACAAACAGTAAGTAATGAAGTAACACAGTAAATGGGCAGTCAGTAGGATAACTCATATTGGCATCTATTGGCTTAGCCAAATCCTCTGTGAATGCTTTGATTTCTTTTCCCCTTTAGTTTAAAACGCAACACATTTTCATTACTCCTGATGATTCTGAGGAGCTTTAAACTGCTTCTGTCTACTGAAGGGAAATGTACAGTTCTTTTCAGTGTGACAATAAATAGAGAATTGCTTCACTGCTGCTGTAATTCTTATGTAGCTCCCCTAGTAGGAGAAAGCCCCTGGCTAAAATAAAATAAAATAAAATAAAACAAAACAATTATCTCAATGTGAATTAACCTTAGGAAATAGAGGTCTCCTTTGTTTTTTGAAAAGCCCAAATAGATCCAGCATCCTATTCTCTCAGAGATTCCTTTGGAAATGCCTTTCTTTGTTAATACATTCTACACATGGGTACAAAAGGGGAAAGTCACTAAAATCATTTTCCTATTGTTAAGAGACGTTGTGTACTATAGGTTATAACAGAGTCTGAAATGGGAATTCTGAACATGATCTCAAAACATAATACATAAAATGCATCTTCTGTCAAGCAATAGGGATGTTTTATAGCACACAAATCTGTAGGGGGAAGATGTTGAATAAGATTGAAAAGTTAAGAGAGTCCTGAGGATTTTTCTGTCCCTGCACTAAACAGAATTTCATAATAGTAGACTGTAAAGAAAGCAACATTTTGGAGCTGAATGTATTAAAAGCTGTCCCATTTACGCGTTAAAACAGAAAGAACATATATCCTGTGATGTTACTAATGTAATTTGTAACTATTAGAAACATACATCATTTAGCTTAAAAATTTTTTTAATACTTTATTCTCTAAGGCAAAATGTGATTTATGCCCCAGAGATTAAGAAAAAAAAAAAAAAAAGGCAAAATTCTCCATTCTAAGGGCTTGGTTTTGCCATTTACATGCCACTTCCTTTGAGCAGAGTGATTTACCATTATTCAGGGTCTCAAATGTTGTTCCTGCTAAGAAGGAAAACTGATGATACAGTAAGTCCTTCTTGAACACAAACCTCATTTTTCTTCTTCCAAACCCCTTCTGGTACAGAGTACATAATAAGTATCTAAGGAAGGATAGTTCTTTTCCACGAGGGTCCCAAGCTGGTTTGGTTTGGGTTCTTTTTTTCACCCTTGCACAGGTTAAAACTTTGCATTTAACTCATCTACTTTAGGTTTTGATTGACCTTGCCCAAGGTCCATGTTTCCAGTAACAACTTCAATTTCTTCAGCTATCATACTCCAAAAGAATGGCAATGCTACAATTCGATTTACCTTGAATGGCTGCTCCCTCCATGAAGTTCAGGCATGAACCCTCGAAACAGTATCTGTGAAAGATGACTGTTTTGTCCCTGATGTAGTCATAGATAGGTTCTTTTGCTGAACAAATTATTATGTTCTGAAAATAAAGGATCTGAATCAGGGAGAGAGATTTTCTGTAAGTGCCAGCATTTATCCATGAGCACACTGTTCCATTTACCTTCTTTTCTACATAGCATTTTTAAAAATTGCTGTTGCAAAGAACAGCTGCCACCTACTTGACCCTCAGATAAAGATGGTGACCAAAGAACTCTTCATTCCCTTTTGTTCAGGTTCTCACAGCATGTTCTTTAATATTATCGGTACTCAACTACACCCATCTACTTGAGTCCTAGCCCTTCACTTTTGCAATCTAATCCACTAGCATGGAAGTCAGTGGAAAGCCAACAGTAAGATGTTTTTACTGTAGTCTTAAGTTATATGAATGGCCACCCCACAGCCTATTGCTAGAGTGGTTAAATTTGCAGCCAACTGTTAGAATAAATCCTGCTTTTACATCTTAGTGTAAGCTTCTGTACTGCATCATCTAATATTCTTAGAGAAGTGGTTATGAATTGAATCAAAATAATGGAATCAGGATTATGCAAAAATACCTGCTACATGTTACTCCAGCTGCCACAACAGATGTATGTAAGTACTGGCTCTGCCATAAGCAAGACATTATGTTCCTACAAAATGGCCATCCTTCAGTCATTTTGGCTTGCCAACAGTACATGGTTGAATCACTTGGGATAAATTATTTCTGGTTCAGGAGGATTAGAGACAGCTTTAAATCTTTACAGGTAGGGTCAATCACAAGTCTCCCAAGGCATTAGCATAAACCAGCATGACAGTAGCAGACAAACCAACATAAAATCAATGCAGCATAGAGATCCGAATTCACTTCTTTGGGTTCGCCAGTCTGCTGGAGCGATGGAGTGAGCTGCCCCCCAGCTTCTTCATTACTCTGGATGTCACACAGGTGACACACTCTGTCGGCTTCACTTTCCCCCACCCCTCCACACTTTACCAGTCATTTGAGTTAGAACTATAATAAGACGCTAGCTGAGTGAATCATTTGGAGTCAAACGCATGTTACTCTTTATTCAGCTGCTGCCTGCCTGGTCCTGCATTCAAATGGCCACATCTAAAGCGACAGAACTTTGTATTCCCCATTGCAGCACTGAATTAGCCAAGGACACGGAACAGGGAAGAGAATATTTGTAGTATTACCAGGGGAGCAAGGGAAGAAAAAAGTTTCCTGACCTTTAAAACAGTTAGATACCTCCGCAAGCTGTTACATAGAATGAAGTGGATGGCATCACTTTAACACATCGCACAGAAAATTCTCAGTGGTGCTTAAGAGCTGGTTTTGAATCTGTGTCCAAAACATACTTTAAGAGCAATGTAAGAGGCATCAGACTTCACTTCTGATAAAATCAGTTTGAATTTCTGGAGATGATGAAGCTAGTGGAGCTTCCCTATGGCTAGTACTCCTCCTCTACTCCCAACCTGTGTTTGTTCACTGCTTCATTTATGATGGGCTTAGATGAAAAATTCTCAGAAACAGGCTTTAGAAAATACTAAAAATACAGCCTAGACAGAAAATCCCCCAAAGTATTACATACAAAGTGCAAAGAAATAGGAAAGCTCTACCCAGTCCTCTATCTCGCTTTGTTAGTGTGAACGAAAATGTTCTACCCCATTACTTATCATAGCTAAGGCATTTCCAAGGTTTTTTGCTTCCTCTAAATACAATGCACTGAATACATAGCCCAATATGAAATAAACACATATTGTAGATGAAATAAATGCATATTGTGAGATTAAGGACTATCAATGGACTTAGACCGCAACAAATCCACAGCCCAAGGAGGTGGTGGTGATAATCTCTACCGTAAGTCAGAAAGGTCCTGGAACTTCTTAACCTGATGCAGGGGGGTTGGTGGAGGAACTGCATTCACAAAGAGGTCTTCAGGAGTGCTCACTAGGTGCAAGAAATCCTGCAACAAGTTTTGAAACTCCAAATATAGGTGCATAGGCTTGCAGGAAGGGGATTTATTTAGACCAAGGGGCCATCAACAAACCGATGCAGGCACCTAATGCTGAAGTCAACAGATAAAAGTTTAAACACCCATAGAACCACAACCAGCGATCCCCCAAAATCCATGTTCAGCTGCCTGGCTCCTATCACCATGAAGAGAGCTACTGTATAAAGCCTTAGGTGTGCGTTACAGCAGTTTCAAACTTGGGTCTCTTGCGCACAACTCATTCCCACTGTGATCATCCTGATGCTGAAAGCATTCACTTAGTTGGCCCTAAGAACAGCTTCAGGACCAGGAATGATCAAGCCCTGATGGCACCTTAATGAGACGATTTAAGTCGCGATGCCATCAGCTGTGGGGCATGGAGGGGACCAGGGTGTGTGAGGGAGGCCAGCCCAACGTGACAGCCTTTCAGGCGTTCCAGAGTGCACACCAGCTCCTCGAGGGCTTCGGGCTGTGCCTATGGTGACAGTGCGTGAGGACTGTCCGGCTGTGCCCCGGCCCTAGGGAAGGTTTCAGCACAGCCCTGGCCCCCGTGGCTCCCTCCGCGAGGGGCGGCGCGGTGCCGGTGCGGCCGCGGCGGATGGTGCTGCGCAGCTAGTCGGTGCATTGCGGCGGTGGCGGCCGGGGAGCGCTGTACCGCTCCGCGCCTGCGGCCATTGCACACCGCGCCTCGCACCGGAGCGGCGGCGGGAGTCAGCGGCGCAACTCGCCATGGCCAAGGAGGGAGCGCAGCGTGCGGAGGAGACGGAGCAGATGATCGAGAAGGAAGGCGGCAAGGAAGCGGGCGAAGGCAGCGCTGCCGGCAGCCTGCGGGCTGCGGACACGAAGGAGATGAGAGCCGTAGTGCTGTCCGCCTTCGGGGGGCTCAACAAGCTCCGCGTGTCCAAAAAAGCCATGCCGGAGCCGCAGGACGGGGAGCTGAAGATCCGCGTCAAAGCCTGGTCCAGTATCACCCCTTGCCCTCTCCTTGGCGCTAGGGACGGGCGGGGCCGGGGGCTTCTCTCCCTGTGCTGGGGTTCGGAGGGGCCGGGTGCGGGGTGATCGCGGGCGGGCGGCTGCTGCTCTAGCACCAACTTCCCTCACTCGTGGCTTCCTCTCGGCGGGGAGCCCCGCTCCGAGCTGCCGCCGCGGCTCCTGCCCCGGGCCGCCAAGCGCCCGGGTACCGGCTGATGCCCGGGCAGCGACTTGATGCTCAGCGGTGGGCTCCGAGCCGCTTGGGCATGGGGTGAAGCCGGGGTTTGGGTGCTGTCAGTAGCGGCTGAGGAGGGAAAGAAATGTAATTGATGTTCACGGTACCAATAGGGGTAAATGGGGAAAACCTGTTTAACTGCGCTTCAGGGTTTGTTATTTTCTCTCTGAGAAATGTGGGAGCCAGCTTGCATGTGGTACTCAGCACCCGTCCCTTCCCCTTCTCATACAGGCTGTTATTTTTCTCCTGGGGATCACTCACTTTACTTATCATAATTTTTCTTCAGCGCTGGTGTGGTGGAGCAGTGGAGCTGGGGGTAACTCTCCAGTGTTGGATGTCTGTGCCTGGTTGACAAGTGGTTAGCGATCTGGTAGCATCTTGCAATAAGCTTTCCTAGAAGGCTTATTTTTGTTTCCCCCAGACAATTGGAGCAGACTGTGCTTCCTCGATAGCTGGTTCTCACTGCACTTGTTTCTCATGAAAATGGGGTTGTTTTCACAACTCAGTATGTACCAAAACCCAAATTAATTTAGCCTAGGCGGGGATTTGCCTTTTGTTGTCCTTTTATGCTACATGAAAACGTGGTGCTTCTGAAAGACAAATTTCAAGGTGAAGGCCAAGTTGTTTATTTTGGAAGTAACTTTAGTTAAAAACGATACTGGTATGGGGCAGTGAGCTTGTTTTGAGGTGCATATCTAGTGGATCTTGGAACATCCTGGTAGGTTAATGCAGCCAAATATCTTGGCCTGTTCAGACACTGCACTTTCCGTCCTGTACTTAACAGGAATCATAATACTTACACAAGTCACAAATGACCTGTGCAAGTATTTCCCCCCACCCTGAGGTGTTGTCTATAAAAAATGGTGATATCCATGACTCTAAATGAGGAATAATAGAGCTGAGGTGTTTTGCATTCTCATTTGATTATTTTTTTCTTTACTAAGTCCAAATGGGAAATGCAAGAAATTCCATGCTAAGTGAGTATAAGCAATAATGGTAACACAGTAGCTGCTGGGTAGCTCGTTTTTCTTTCAGACAGGGCTGTAATTCTGTTTGAGAATAGGCTATGTTGTTTTCAATGATTTTTTTTTCCCCAGCTATTGAATTAATATGCAAAATTAAAATGTTCTGAGCACATGGACATATTCCTTTAAACACGTGGGGGTTTCACAGCACTGTCTAGTACCAGTGTGACTCTCCAGTACCAGTATGAATTACAGTTTCATCAAAGCAGTAGATAATGTTTGTACCACAAATGGCAAGTTACCTGCAAAAGAACACTTGGCTGTAAAATAGGAACAGTTAGCTCTGGTACAAATATAGTTGCTTTCCCAGGTTGCATTATCACTAGTGAGCTGTGCAAGTTGCGCACTTGCTGTTTAATGCCAGCAGACCTGCTTGACTGCTTCATAGTTACTGCCAGGTTGCAAGATGCCATGTGTGTTTTGGAAGCTCCCCTTCATGCCAGAAGAGCCCGTGGGCTGTATAGCATCTGTTTGCCATTCTATCTGCTTGGCAGTCTGGGCTGGAAACAGCCATAGGGCTGAAATGTGATCAGGTCACCAAAGCGTGCTTCCAAATAAGGCAAAATCAATTTGCCGATCTTCTTGATGTGAGTCTGTAAATACAGAAGATTGACCAGGATGATGATGGACTTGCAGTCTGGTCTGGGAGACTGAGCAAGAAAAACGACTGTTGTCTCTGCCCAGTGTAGTATGCAGTACACATGTAGTTCATATGTATGCACGTGCTGAACATGCAGAGCTGGGCTCTGCTAAGCCATTTTGACGACAAATAATGTTTTAGTTGAATCAGCTGTGTAGTTGACAGTCATTATAGATAATGATTATTTTTCTCCATTAACTTGTGGGGAAGAATAATCCTAAGTAAAATATGTTCATCTGTGATAAATAGTATATATAAATGACTAAAGCCCAAGTTCTGTGTGGTCTCTGCATCCACTGGAGGGTGAAACCAGTTGAATCATATGTATACATTTTGTAGTGCGGTACTGTAGATGGAGGAGAGGGAGGCCTTGTTGCTATTCACGCTAAGACATGCAATGAATAATTCTTTTGAAGGTCTGGAATATCAATGATCCAACTGAAAATGTGTCAGCTGAGATGAGTCATGTGTTAGCCTCATTCAGTGACTAAGAAATGGAACAGCCATCAATGTCCAAGCTGAGTCACAGCTTCTGCATATCTCCTGAAATAATTTTTGATTGATAATGATGAAGTAGTCAAAATTGCTGTATTTGTTTGTGTGGTAATTTGCAATCTGCAGAACACTGTGCATAGTTTAAAATATTAAACAAGTAGCTAGAACAAACCACAGTATATTTCAGGTAGGGTGTGTGAGTAAGGACTGGTGTCCTGTGAGTAAGGAATGGTGTCCTGTAATTAACTCCCTATAATTTATTTTCACTGTTCTGATAGTTTCTTACTTGTGATACTGTATGTGTACATCATGAGGAATGAGGCAGAAGTGACCCTGCTGGCTGTGAGATACAGCACTTTAAAAAACTGGTAGTAAATAAAAGAAATCCTAGGTATACTAGAGTAGCGGACAGATAGTGTATCGATTTTGTTCTTAAAAGCAATCTTGTTCATATACTGTTAGTGTTTCTGGATGAAAAGCATGAGATCTGATAATTTTAAACTTTTCCATTTATCTATCTATCATCTATCTATCAATCAAAAGATTGGTAGGCAATTTGCTGGCCGGGGTAAGAGGAAGGATTATAAGAATGTAAAACTCAGTGGTCCTCTTACTTGCTCTGTTGTATTTCATTAACTTCAGTAACTCATTTCATTGGACTCTTGTGGTGAAATAGAAGAGACTGATCAAAAGCAGCACCTTTCCAAAGCAAAGTGTAGAGAATGGTCTGCCTGATATGGTAGTTTGCAGTGGAAGATACTGGGCATCCTTGAGTGTGTGGGACAGAGCAAGTTGGACCAAGCTGACTGTTGCTGGTCTGATGACGAAACAAGCCTAGAATACAGCTTTCTATCCACAGAACTTTTCGCATTTAAAGAAAATAAAAATACGGCAAAGCTAAACCACAAATACAGAAAAATGACACTCAAGATCCTCAAAATTGGTGTTAGGGTGGAACATTGCAGATTTTGACAGTCAGATGTAAAGATACTTCCATGTTTGATAAACTCTGCCTCCAGAGATGCGCAGATAATTCAGTCTGTGCAGTTCACACTAATATTTGTGCTCTTTCACAGACGGGTTTTTGCAGAACCCCAGTGTCAGTGTATTAATCTTGATAATTCGCATGCTTCCGTATCTTCATTTGCATCTAGCTTTTTATTTCAGATTAAAAACACAACTGCAAGAAATTGTGCACTTTTTGTCACTGGATCTCTTTGCATTTACACTCCTACATATACCCTTACTTAAAGTTCAACCAGTTTTTCTGGCTACCCACCAGAACAGGGTACTCTGTTTTGTACTGATACAAGAAATAAATTGTGCTTATTCTCTGAAACCATCACTCTTCATGAGGTGCATTTTCTTGTGATGTTCTGTCCATCTAGACTTCCCTTTTCCTGTGTCAGCTGCAGGTTAAATCTCAGTGGGTGACTGGGTAAGGTTAGGTGTCTTGGAGATAATTACTAAAGTAGCCATCCATCTTTGAATAACCTCCAGATTATTCAAAGGGAAAAAAAATAAAATGCTGGGTTTACTATGCAATGTAATTGTGCTTTCAGGTCTATTGGTGTTGATAAGGCTTGTTCAAATTTGGAAGGTAAAATAAAACAACTTATTTCTGTCCTTATTTGAAAGGGGAAAAGAATGGAAATAAATACATGTATGAGAGAAATAGGTATATGCAACATATAAACATATAGGAGATAAAAGATGAATCAAATGAGGAAGAAACTCCCAGAAAAGTTGCTAGAAATGATTTGAAATGCTGATCAACACTCTATGTTCCAGCTGGTAATTAAAATGATAAAAAGATGTGATTAGGTACATACCTTGTGCAGTGTCTTTTCTTCCCTTATCACACCTGTTCTAGTATCTAGTCTTGTAAGTTCATTCTAATAGAGATGAGCTCTCTATTTTGTTTAACACTGCTGCCTTTTATTGAGGATAAAGACAGATGAAAGAGAAATGGAACTAGAATAGAGCAGAATTGCTAGTATTATGTCGTGAGGTGCAAAACTGAGTATGTGCCCTTTCAAAAATTGTCTGACAAGTTATTTTGCAAGAATGAATATTTCTAGGAAGAGCATCAGTAATGTATTTGTAATCAAATGTCATTATCAAATGGCTATAGTCTTTTCCATATCCATCTGTCTGCTTGTTTTCTGCTTGTTACAACGTCATGGTTTGTGTTCCTGCACAGGTTTTCACATCACGGTTCTGCCTTTGGCTGCCCTTTCTTGCAGGAGTGTAGGAAAAGTTAACTGTAAAATGTGTGCGCTGTGAAAAGACGTATTAAAAAGGTCATCACTGAAATTAATGTACACAGGTAGCGGTTGCACCATGTATGGTGTGGGGTTTTTGGTTTTGTGCTGTGTTTTCTTTTTTTTTCTCTTCCCAAATGATGACTGCCTAGCAGGCATTTTGTTATTTGGGATTTCTCTTTTATTATGAACATTACAGTGGTAATGTAGGAGGTGGTCTTAGCCACTGGATAAGAAGTGACCTTCCTAAAATCATTCCAGAATTCCCACCTTAATTGTGCCAAAGACCTCCTAACCTCTCATGTGGTTAATGTTATGAGCTCTGTGTATGAGCATGTTGGGCTTGGTTTTTTTTTTGTTCGTTTTATTTTTCCTTTTTTGACTGAGTTTGTCAAGCTAGACTGCGAAAATCATCTTTTTCAAATATAATCCATAATCTTGCTTTTACAGAGCTTAGAGTTGTGAGCTCAGGTTGCTCTTAAACCCTCCACCACAATTACAAATATTTACATTTGGTGGAATTTCCTTCCCCCCTCAGTGACCTACATGTTATGAATGCTGTCTTGTCTCTGGGCTTACGTCCGTACTCTGTCTTTTTGTTTGTTGAGTCTGTTCAATCTGTTTGCTTCATTAGTATCTGACTAAAGCTCTGTGCACATCAGTAATTTCATGCATCCAAGCAGTTGCCGGTATCATATGCATGAGTAGGACTAGCTGTGTGCATAGCTTTAGAGAGTCGGGGGAGTTAGTATGCGGCAATTTTGGCTAACAATAAATACAGGGCTGTGTTTTGCAACAATGGATTCATGCTGAAGCATTGGCTAGTTAGGAGTTTGAGGAGTTTTAGCTACGTATGGCATTTGTGCCAGTAATCGGTACATATATATGTATATAGAGAGTAGATAATGGTACCTTTTTTGGTTGTGTTTTTTTGTGGCTTCCTAGAGAACAACACAATTTTACATAATAAAGTTGGATGGTATGCATAAGACAAAGCAAAGATGCTTCAAGATTTTTGCAAAACGGAGGCTACAGGGAAAGACCTGTTTTTTTTCTGAGCAGGAACTCTGAGGCTCCAAAGACCTAAATAACCTTTGCAAAACTCTGTAAAAGTGATCCAGGAGGAAAATGTTTTAAACAACAGCCTATCTAATACTTGTTCATGTCAAAGTGTGGGCTCCTGCCTGGAATGAGCACAAAATTCATTCCTGGAGTCATACCAGAGGTTAGAGGAGTTGCATCAGGTTGCTCTTGGCTCAAAACATCTATAATGCTTGATGTTTGGGGTTTTCTTAAGTTGCACTGTGTTTACTTGCCAAGTAGTAATGCATTCATAGAAATCATAATGTTTCACTGTATTGACTTTTGAAATGCCCTTTGTGAATCTCTTCAGGTGACTTCTAAACAGTCTTGTAAACTTTGGAGCTAACGTATGTGTGTTTTTCTTTCCAAGGCCTGTACAGCACAGTGTAAAGTCAGACTGTTCCACACATGAAGAATGTGAATGTCTGCTGAGTCCCTCTTATGCGGTGGAGCCCAGCTTTTTAATGATGGGCTTAAGTCTTCTGTCTTTCCCATCACTCAGGTCAAGTTTTCCTCCTTATATTATCTATAATAATAGTGCTGATTTTGTTTTTTCTTGTATTTTACAGTGGTTTGAACTTTATTGATTTGATGGTGAGACAGGGCAATATTGACAACCCTCCAAAGACGCCACTTATTCCTGGGTTTGAATGTTCTGGAATTGTAGAAGCTCTTGGAGATAGCGTGAAAGGATTTGAGGTAATAATTTCTTTCATTTCAGAGCAAGGAGACTAAATAATCACTGGTTCACTGTGTATGTTGTCTCTAATCCCTTCTGGTCTACCAGTGACAGCAGCCTTCACCACCCTGTTGAGATTTGAAAGGGCAATTTTTCCTTGCTGCTTCCCAAGCATGAGAATTGCCTCTTGATTTAGTTTCTAAAGCTACCACTGTCATTTCCATCAAACAGTTCCTGAAAAATCACTTGTGCCATGTGTATATCTTGATGGAATGGGAAAGCATGACTTAAATGCTTCGCGAAAGTAAAAGAAATTGAGTTAACTTGTTTTCTCGGCCATGTTTGCTGTCACTATTGCTCTGTCCCTCAAAGCCCGTGTGCTGCTGATTGTAGTTCCAGCTTTTGATCTCGAGTTAACAAGACCACAGTTTAAAATAAGCTTGGGTTCTTACAACCATGTGCGTTCATGAAACACAGATAGCACCGGGACTCTGATTCTGGGTGTATGACTTACAAAGCAAAAGGGTCTGTTTCACCTAGCAGAATAGCAATAAATGACAAAGAGTTAATTTATATAATAAAGCTTTCATAACTGGTTGGCATTATGTACTCTTTTGTATCTCTTACTACATATAAACAGTATTCTGTCATCTCTGCTCTTCAATCATTGATGTTAAACATCCCTATTTCCCCCCAGTCTAGCATTTTATTTCCTAAGTAGATAGAAAAATAGTGAAATAGAAACTGCATGTCAATCCAATCTTATTTATAGAATCATAGAATAGTTAGGGTTGGAAAGGACCTTAAGATCATCTAGTTCCACCCCCCCTGACATGGGCAGGGACACCTCTCACTAAACCATGTGACCCAAGGCCTTGTCCAACCTGGCCTTGAACATCACCAGGAATGGAGCATTCACAACTTCCCTGGGCAACCCATTCCAGTGCCTCACCACCCTCACATTAAAGAACTTCCTCCTTATATCCAATCTAAACTTCCCCTGTTTAAGTTTTAACCCGTTACCCCTTGTCCTGTCACTACAGTCCCTAATGAAGAGTCCCTCCCCAGCATCCCTATAGGCCCCCTTCAGATACTGGAAGGCTGCTATGAGGTCTCCACGCAGCCTTCTCTTCTCCAGGCTGAACAGCCCCAACTTTCCCAGCCTGTCTTCATACGGGAGGTGCTCCAGTCCCCTGATCATCCTCGTGCCCTCCTCTGGACTTGTTCCAACAGTTCCATGTCCTTTTTATGTTGAGGACACCAGAACTGCACACAATACTCCAAGTGAGGTCTCACAAGAGCAGAGTAGAGGGGCAGGATCACCTCCTTCGACCTGCTGGTCACGCTCCTTTTGATGCAGCCCAGGATACGGTTGCTTTCTGGGCTGCGAGCGCACACTGAAGCCGGCTCATGTTCGTTTTCTCATCAACCAACACCCCCAAGTCCTTCTCCGCAGGGCTGCTTTGAATCTCTTCTCTGCCCAACCTGTAGCTGTGCCTGGGATTGCTCAGACCCAGGTGTAGGATCTTGCACTTGGCATGGTTAAACTTCATGAGGCTGGCATCAGCCCACCTCACAAGCGTGTCGAGGTCCCTCTGGATGGCATTCCTTCCCTCCAGCGTATCAACCGAACCACACAGCTTGGTGTCATCGGCAAACTTGCTGAGGGCGCACTCAATCCCATGTCCATGTCAGCGACAAAGATGTTGAACAAGACCGGTCCCAACCCCGATCCCTGAGGGACACCACTTGTTACTGGTCTCCGGATGGACATTGAGCCATTGACCACAACTCTTTGTGTGCGGCCATCCAGCCAGTTCTTTGTCCACCGAGTGGTCCATCCATCAAATCGATGTCTCTCCAATTTAGAGACAAGGATGTCGTGTGGGACGGTGTCGACCGCTTTGCACATGTCCAGGTAGATGACATCAACTGCTCTAACTCTGTCCATCAGTTCCGTAGCCTCATCATAGAAGGCCACCAAATTGGTCAGGCAGGATTTCCCCTTAGTGAAGCCATGCTGGCTGTCACCAAGCACCTTGCTGTTTTTCATGTGCCTTAGCATGCCTTCCAGGAGAATCTGCTCCAAGGTTTTGCCAGGCACAGAGGTGAGACTGACTGGTCTGTAATTCCCTGGGTCATCTGTTTTCCCTTCTTGAAAATGGGGGTTATATTTCCCTTTTTCCAGTCATCGGGAACTTCACCTGACTGCCATGATTTTTCAAATATGATGGCCAGTGGCTTAGCAACTTCATTCTCCAGCTCCTTCAGGACCCATGGATGGATTTCATCAGGGCCCATGGACTTGTGCACATTCAGGTTCTTAAGATGGTCTTGAACCAAATCCTCTCCTACAGTTGGCTTAGGGTCTTCATTCTCACAGTCCCTGCATCTGCCTTCCAAGACTTGGGTGGTGTGGTCAGAGCATTTGCCAGTGAAGACTGAGGGAAAGAAGTCATTCAGAACCTCAGCCTTCTCCAAATCCAGGGATCTGGATTATTTTAGTCATGTCATTAAGCAGTTGCATTTTCTTAGTTCTTACTGCATCTTAAGTAAGGCAGTTGCTTAAAATATTTTTATTTAAAGGTAACATTTTTGCTCTTCTGGAAAAGATGTGACGTTTCTCAGTTGAGTGAAGATAATGGCCTGTTTAGTTTCTGGTAGGAACTCAGTGATGAGACATTTCTCTGCCTTCCCCCTCTTGCCTCATCTCTGCCTCAAAACAAGTCATAATCTTCCAATGTTTTTTGTGACAAACAATAACTGAACAGTAACTTTGCTGCTTTAGAAACTCTACTGCTTCAGTTGTTCCACTCTAGTATCTGTGCTTCATAGTTACACTCCATATCAAAGAATTTTCTATGAAAGGAGCACAGTCTCTTCTCTAGATCAGCAGTCTCAGTTTAAAAGTCCCATCTATTTTTAAAGGGCATTGTGAGGCTATAGCATATGGTGCTTTTATGAATAACGTTGCACCTGACTGAATATAGTGGATCTCTTTTCAAGTTAGGTCTTTGTTCTGACTGCAGAATGCATTTGTGCTATGGAGTACTCCCTGAAACTGAAACAAGAGTGGTATTTAATTTTTTTGCATGTAACCTGCATACCCCATGGTAGTGTTTGAGTGACCTAGAGGAAGGATCAACACTCAGAATAATTCTGCAGTGATATAAGCCCGTAAGCAGGAGGAAGTGCCACGAAGAAGATACAAAAATGTTCTGTCAGTTTCTTTATGGATTTATTGCATGGAATAGGAGCACGCCCAATGCTTGTTGTCTCCTTGACCTAAGCTGTTTTCACTGTCAAGAGCAGTGACAGGAATGACAAAGATTGTGCCCTACGTCTTCTGACTTCCTTTCCCTTTGAAGATCTCTTTCAGTTGAAGCCACATTGAAGTGGGCATTTCATGCTCTGGAAAAATGTGCCTTACAGGCCCTTAGCTTGTATTACCTGAAATAGCCTGTAATACCTGAGATATTACCTAAGAGGTTGCCAGCCATTTCTTGTCTTCGTTTGCTGTGATTGTGTTATTGTATGAGAAATGTCATCATTGAATGGCAGTCCATTTTGACAGTGAAAACATACCTTACAATGAAATAAAGCCTTTTTTTGTGGAATAATGGTGTAATGCCTATTCCTTCTCCCATTAAAAGGAAAAGCTGATTTCTGCTGAGCTCAACTGTATCAGGCCTTGTATCTCTAGTTGTGGGGACGATTCTCAGGAGCTAAGGCCTAATCTCAGATGATGACTAAGCTCTGTATAGTGTTTGTGGTAAAATAAAGTATTTAATGTTACTAAGAAATCCCTCAGGAATCACCAAGAGGGACTTCTCTACATTCTTTTTGGTAACCATTCATATTTGTTTGCAAGGATATAGGATGTATTAACATCTTCACTAATAAATCCTAGCAGACTTTAGATTTTAGGTGCTTCTCTAAGAGCAAAAGGCAACCACAGAGTGGTTACCAGTGAGGCACTACTAATGTGAATGTCTTTTTCAAAAGGAGGAGGCATTTTGGTGAAAACTGGAATGTCATTTCTGTTTCGGCATCCTCACTCTGAACCTTTCAAATCAGCAGCACCTTAGTTTTCAGCAAACCTGCAATAACCCAAACTGATGACAGGTACCTGGGAGACTAAAATGAGCTTGTGCTATAAATGTGTCCCTGAAGGTAAAAGTGTTGAGCTTTAATCCATTGCTGTGGAATATAGCTGAAGTAGTCCAAGAACAACCTATAATATTTCTAAAACATTAGTGGGTATTAGTGGAATGTAAGATGCAGAATATCAGGCAGATAAGGTATTTTAGAGGGACAGCTGCTGTTAGTTTTACTTAAAACATTAAATACTGCTATGTGTGATGCTATTCCTGCGTTATTACTTACACTGTGGCCCCAGTGAAGAGCTCCTTTCATGGTTAAGGATGCTATTTTTGTTGGTGTGTTACAGAAAGGCAAAGAAGTCTAAAATAAGGTAAAAGGTGTGCAGGGGCTGCTGGTGACAAGCAGTTATTGAGAGCTTTGCCTGTGAAGGTTTACACACTGTAGCTCTCCCTAGTAGTGCCAGCAGACCAATTTCTGCTTTTACATGAGTTGCTTTCCAAGTCTGATTGTGCCTCTGCAGGAGCCTCACAGCTCCAATTGCTTTGTTATTATTCTTGCCCATCTGTGGGGAGTCACTATCTGCAGTTTAAAAACCTGGTGCTGCAATGAAGGCCATTATACAGACGTATAGATTTGATGTGCCTGGAGGTTCTGAGAGGTTCCTAGGAGCAACCAACCATATCTAATATTAACATAAAATCTTTATTTCTCCATAGTGAAATACCCTTTCACTACTATGTATTTTCCAAAGGAACTGAGTAATGTTTCAAAGGAAGTATTTCATTGCTCCTTTAAATCCTGTCAAATTAATTTTGTAGGCTTAGTAGTGCCTTGGAATCCAGAGGTATATTTTTTGACCTTTAAGATGGCTTATTTGAAGTTGCAGGATCAAATTCTGGTCTGACGTGACTGGAGAAATTATAGTCATGGAAATGTATTGCTAGAATCAGTTATTAAGGTAATAAAAGTAGAGAGTAGCTACAGATGGTGTTATCTTCTAACTGAGTGGTGTCTGAACCCTTTCATGTACCTGAGTGCAAGGCCTCCCCTTCTCGATCCATGGAGAGCAAAAGTAGGTCTAAATTACTGTGAAGACTGAGAAAGCAGAGTGAAAAATATCTGTGGTGTACTTTTGTTTATTCCATGTATTTAATAGGTTATATATAACCCTTTTTTTCCTGGTTTTGGGGGTCTTTTTTCTGTAAGCAAATTTCCTGGTTATTAGTAAGAATGCTCTTTTCATTGTTTACAGCCCCATTTGTTATTTAGGGTCTCTGCTAGAAAAAGATAATCTGTGTTTGTGATGATGAAAGTCTGCTCATAGAAGCAGTGTAGGAAAAGACGAGGTGGCTTTATTTGGATATTTTTGTTAAATCCAGACTTTTAAATAAATACAATTAAAACTTGGTAAAAACCCAGAGCTGAGCTTAACTGCTGTTTTGCAAAGATGGGGAGCACTATTAACTTCACAGTCAGTGACCCACAACTTGAGCAGGAGAGTTGCAGATCTCACAAGCTGCTCTCTACAGTCTCACTCGCAGCCATATCCTCAACCTTTTCTTCCTTGTTTGTAGATTGGAGACCGAGTCATGGCTTTCATAAACTACAGTGCATGGGCTGAAGTAGTTTGTACCCCAGTCGAATTTGTCTACAAGATCCCAGATGACATGAGCTTTTCTGAAGCTGCTGCGTTTCCCATGAACTTTGTAACTGCCTACATGATGCTCTTTGAAGTTGCTAACCTAAGAGAAGGCATGTCTGTGCTGGTCCACTCTGCAGGGGGTGGAGTGGTAAGTTGGAACTTTTCTTACTTTTCTGTCACCAAGTAACTGGAAAGTCTGATGCATTTCTGAAATGAGCCAGGCCCTATAGTTTGATTCGAGATCAGACTTCCCTGTGGGAGGGATTGCAGTGAAACTACATCTGTTTTCCCTTCAAAACACTGATGCAAATGGTTGGCAGGAGCTTTGGGTGAAATAAAAGTGTTATGACAGTAAATTTTACCCCAAAACCCCTCCCAAACCCCCTGACTGGTTGTCAAAGATCAAGGAGCAAGTGCTGTCCCAAACATCTCACTCCTGAACCTTTATGAAGCACCTTGTACTCCTGTGTAAAAGAAGGCTGAAAGGAATGAAGAAGTAATGAATGCAATAGTGAAAGGAATAAATAAGTCAATGTCCTGAACACAGTAGTTGTAGGTAACCATTATCCTCTTTGCAGTAAATGACCCTCTTGGAATACTCCTGCAAATGCTGTGTGTGTGAGAGAGATGCTTTTTGTGTGAAGTTCTTCCCCTTTGTTGTAGAAGGATGGAAAGCAGTGAGAAGCAGCATTGTGGCAATCAATATACAAAAAATATACAGACGCTGAATCTCGTCAGTGGTGGCTGCTACATGTCATAGTTTGGATCATTAGTAAGGGATTGCTGTGTTACGTGGGCAAAGAAATAGTAGGATGAGTTTGGTGGAATGCCTGGCCATGCAATGAAATAAGAAGTCAGCATTTTGTGTTACCAGTTCATCGAACTATCTTTTACTAAAATCTCTCTCCTTTGAAAAGTACTTAAGCTTGTGCAGACTATCAAGATACTGTCAGGGGAGTTTGTTTGAAATTATGCAGTGCTTTTCCATAAAGCAGCTTTCACAACCTGAGAACACTATCAGATCTCAGCCTTCCAAACTGCAATACCTCTTCTCTTTTCCTGTTATGCCTTATTTACGCTGCATTAATATTCTGTTGTCTGTTGAGGTCTGGTGAGCAGCCCAAACACCGTATCCCTACTTGTATGCCCTTAGACCTTTTTCAGGTTCTCATGTAAAAGAAGGCTGTAATCAAAGGAATAAATTCATGAGTTCCCTGTACAAAGTATTTTTAGCTAACAGTAATCCTACTTGCAGTAAATGGTCCTCTTGGAATACTTCTGTAAATGAATGGAATTTATAATCGTATTATGCTTTGGCACAGTACAACCTAGAGCATTATGGCTGACTATCGTTCTTTAATATTAAATCTTCTTATGTGGAATTTAGGACTGTTGAAACAAGAGGCCACACAATCCTTGCTTTTGGCTGTTTTGTAGATATATATATATGCATGTATCCACAGAAAATGAACTCCTCCTTATTGAGATAAAGTGTCCTTGCTAAATGTCTTTATTTCTTTCTCTCTTCCTCCTTCTAACATAGCCACCTCTGTTATTTCTTCCTTCTCTTCCCTGAGTGCTGTTAATGCTCTACCAACTCTCATGTAGGTGTCTTCGCTAGTGCTCAGCCTCTGTGCTGGGCTGTGTCTGTAAGGAGCAGCTGGCTTCCTCTCTTCTATCACAGATGCTTAATGAACAGTTTTTGACTGGTCCTCTGCTGTGACTGCTTGTGGATATTCTCTAAAAGAAGATGCAGAAGGATGAAGGATGGGTCCTGCGTGGCTGCCAGGAGAACAAGGAGAAACCAGATCCATCACATGCTAAATAGCTAAATAAAACAGAGTTTCCAAGGGAAAAGTACAGGAAGAACAGCCAAGTTGGCCAATATCTGATAAAGGTCTGTGTACAATCCATCAAAGGGAGACAGGGCTGGCTCGCCTCAGGATGCCATGGTGGAGAGTGCCTCATGCAGGCTGTTGTTCCTTTTAAGGGAAGAGCATGTATAGCTAGAATTGGGAAGGAAAAACTTTGCCCATTGCTTGACAGGTCTAACATGTAAAATATCACTCTGGAGATGCATGGAATGCTTTCCTTTCTGCTAACGAGACATAAAGATTTCAGAGGGGTCTGTGTTGCTCTTTAAACCTGTCTAATAATCTGTCTGCTAATCCTTTGAAAAATCTAACAGCCTCAGCTGAACAATTCACTCTCACAAAGTTCTTAGTTAATAAAACAGAAAACTGGCACTGAAATTTCTATGGGAAGAGGTAGTTTTTGTGCTATTGCTTTTAGTAGATTGAAGGCCCATTCCTACTTTCAGCAAGTGGGAAACCTGTCCAGTTTGTTTCTAAATGTCATAGAAATTCCAGAACACTTTCAAGAAACGATAGGCTTGCTGTGGGACTAGAAGTTTGTAACTGTTCCTTTCTCATTATGCAAGATCATTATTTTAGCTGCTTCAGGCAGTTTATGAAAAAGAACTTGTTGCTTCAAAAGTGTTTGTGAGGTTCTTTGTCCTGGCTCATTCTCCTCTTCAGGAAGATCCTGCAGCTTTTTCAGTAGGTCAGGGAAAATTCTCTAGGACCTTTACTTACGTCTTGCCTCGGTTTATTTTTCTGGCTTTATTTTTTGTTTTAAGTATTTTTAGTACTGAAGTAACAGTTGTCTTCCCATCTGTGCCTGGGGTATGGTTAGCATGTGATGGTAATCCTTAATGTCTGACAGGATGCTTTAGATAAGTCAGTTTGCTTACTTACAGAGAAGTTCCAGGGGACATCAGAAAATGACATAGAGAAGAAGGAAATGTACCAAAATAACTTATCTTGATAAAAGTTTTACGTATCTGTCTCTCTTACAGAAACTTGAATCTGGCTCTGTAAACCAAATGAGAACCACTCAGCTGAAAGGTCAGGGCATCATGTAGTCTTCCCTCTTCATGGTAGGAAATGTGGCTGGCTGTAGGGAAGCACCTTGTCTCTCTGAACCAGGAGGTGGATGCTCATAGACTCTTCTTTCTGGCACTGTTGGTATATTGTAGCCTTCCATCTGAAGAGGAGGACTAGCTTCAGTGCTTAGAAGGGGGTTTGAAAAGAGAGATTGTATTTGCTTTTGTTTGTTAGGGCTTCCTTGTTGATTTGGATTGTTTGGAAAGGGGGCTGCTTTGGAGGTCTGTTTGGTTTTCATGTCTCTCTTTCCCTCTTGAGACAGGGGCAGTTAATAAAGACTGACTTGTGAAGTAGGATGGAGAAATTCTAGGGGCCTTCTAGGAAAGCAAGGTGCAGGCTCACAGTTGCATTGCATGGTTCAGTCAGATTTTGACAAGACGTTAATACCTTGCAAAGCATTCTGTTGTTATTTCTTGAGCTGCTACTGACCAGGATCGTACAAGGATGGTAGTTGTCATGCACTCCTTCTACTTGGCAGAGTGCTTAACAGATCTCTTTAATCCATTACATGGAGATGCAGGGCAGTTTGATAATTAACAAAAGATATAATTATGTAATACAGATAGAGTTTAAATACTTAACGGTACAGAAATGTTCTTCTGAACTGATACCTAAAATATGGAGAAAGTCAGCTAATGCTGAACTTCAGACACTTCCTATTATACATACATAGAAATTAATGCTTAGAAATACGATTTTTGCAAAAACATATGACTTACTGTAGCACATACATTGGCCTATCTTCACTGTGAAACCCTGCAATTAGTGTTTGAAATGACTGTAAATTGTGGAGTAACTCCCTTCACAATATACTCCTAGGTCTTTCTTTTCAAATGAAGCAAAGCGGCAACTGAAGAAAATACACTGAGAAGACTGAGCAGTAACGTGCACCCCGCTGGCACTGATCTGCTCTATGAAGCAATTAGTTATTTAAAATGTTTTAAATCAGTACATTCAGTGAAGGTCACAGCAGAGGCTTGTATGAGATTATAAAGTTGTTCTTAAAGTTTTTAATGTAAACTTGTAAACTGTATCCTGGATTAGTTATTGAATTAGTATAAATACAGGATTGTGGTATCAAAAAAACCGCAAACAACCAAAAGACCCAAAACCCCAAACAACAACAACAAAAAAAAAACAAAGCAGAAAGAATCTTTAGGCTCTTCTTTTCTGGATTTAACAAATCTAGTCTCTATCTCTGATATCTACCTGGAAAATTAATTCTTTCAGGGATTTTGATTTGTGAAAGACAGCCATTATGCTCATTTGCTTATTTGTTTTCTCTTTATGTACTTCCTATTCTGAATATTTAGAGCACAAAACTTTGGTCATTTACCAAGGTTGTGTAAATGCTTCAATTTCATCACATAATCCCTCTGATGCAAGGCAGAATTATTAGCCAGTTCTTTAGCATTTTGATCTCACAGATGCTAAAATTAAGCTGCTTTAATGCAGAAGCATCAATTACTCTGCTGAAGCTGTGACTTGACCTTCCCTTTCAGGCTTAGCAGCCAAGGAAGTGCAAGCAGAGTAAGTTACAGATGCAGTTCTCAGGTGTGAATTTGAAGGGTAAATCTGACTTGGCAACAGATTTAGGTCATCCTGGCAGGACTGGTTACTGCTTGGCAGGAACATTCTTTTTTATTGTGTTTCCCCTGCATAAATTGCAAATATTTGAGGACGTGTTCCAAACTGAATCTCTGAAGTGGTGATATTTTATCTGACAAAAATCTGGTACTTCTTAATAAATCTAGTCACCCGCTGTCACAGGCAGCATATAGGAACCCTTTCAAGAGAATTATCAAATTTCTCCTTAAAAAAAAACCCGTATGTTTATCCCTTCAGATCGTCTCTGCTCTTTCTTGCTCTGTGAGAACTCTTTCTCAATGTCCAGACTTTATTTGTGGGCAGTTAATGTGTCTTTATGGTGCTATTAGTTAAAATCAGCTATACTTTGCTCTTGCGGCGCTTCTTTCAAACGTTTCTGGTAAGGCTGTGTATGTGTTTATGGCTAGAACAAGCTCAGAATCAAATCTCTTTTATTAGCCTGTATTTTTCAGGCTGAAAGTAAATTTGTTTGTTCATACTCTTCTTTTGAAAGGTCAGATGTCTGTTTCCTTGGTCATCCTACAGACACTGGTTCAGGCAGATACGTGGTTGGGAGTAAAACAGAAGTAAGCTAGCATGAAAGCCAGAGCCTTTT